CCGAGGGCCCCCAGCGCTGCCCGCGCTCCTGTGCAGCCTGAAGAAGCTGCCTGGAGCTGTGCCTCGGAGCCAGCCCGGCCGGAGCCTGGGTTGCTCTCGCTTCATCAAGGCTTTCCCAGCAGGGAGAGGTCCCCTGGCACCTCCCTGCTGCCTGCTGTTTTCTGTCCTGTTGCATCTTGGTGCTCTGGCTGGGATTCTTGCGTCCCCACGGTGGTGGCTCTCTGCGCCGGTGCTCTTGCTCGGGGAAGCCTGGGGAGAGCCGGAGGAGGCTCCTTTTGCGGCAGGGGGCGGGCACGAGGATGGGGGCGGGGGTCTCTCCCGAGTGGTGCGCAAGCTGCGAGCATCCATCTCCATCGCCTGGGCATTGCTCGCGCTCCATTCCTTGTTTGTGGTACGTGGATCATCCTGCTTCTTGCACTGCTGTCTTGGTCCCATCATCTGTCTCCCTGCGCTGCGCTAAGGGAGATGTAGTAGTTGTGTGTACCCTGTCTGCCATACGTCTTCTGGAAGCTGGCGTCACCGCCTCTAGCTCGTGGGGAGACCCAGGGACCTGAAGCCATTCCATGCACATCCTCCGGCCCCTCTGCCCTGGACCGTCCCATGTCTTGGTGGCGTGTGGTTGTGGTTGGCGTTTGTGCCATGGCTCGGTCGCATTCGTTGTGATTTCTCTCTCTCCCCTCTCTGTTTTCTCTGCACTCTCTTTCCCCTCCAGAAAGCAGCCGAGAAGCTGAAGGAGGAGGAGAGGAAGCGGCTGGCGGAGGTGGAGGCCCAGCTGGAGAAGCAGAGGCAGCTGGCTGAGGCCCACGCCAAAGCCAAGGCGCAGGCGGAGGCAGAGGCACGGGAGCTGCAGCTCCGCATGCAGGAGGAGGTCACCCGGCGGGAGGTGGTGGCTGTGGATGGAGAGCAGCAGAAGCAGAACATCCAGCAGGAGCTGATGCAGCTGCGTCAGAACTCTGACCACCAGATCAAGTCCAAGGTGAAGCTCATAGAGGAGGCTGAGTATAACCGCAAGAAGGTGGAGGAAGAAATCCGCCTCATCCGCCTCCAGCTGGAGAGCACCGAGAAGCAGCGGGCCAGTGCCGAGACAGAGCTGCAGGAGCTGCGGGCGCGTGCGGAGGATGCTGAGCGCCAGAAGAAGCAGGCGCAGGAGGAGGCTGAGCGCCTGCGGCGGCAGGTCAAGGATGAGAGCCAGAAGAAGCGCGAGGCGGAGGAAGAGCTGAAGCGCAAGGTGCAGGCCGAGAAGGATGCGGCCCGAGAGAAGCAGAAGGCCATGGCGGACCTGGAGAAGTTCAGGCTGCAGGCGGAGGAGGCTGAGCGGCGGA